CAGACAAAAGACCTGGTCTTTTTCCTTGACCCTAACCAGAACTAGGAATACCATCTTCCTCTCTCTCGTTTCTTTTGACTTTGCGACTCGATGTTTCCATTTCCTCATCAGAAGAAAAGTAATCATCCATTGGTTGATTGTCGTTGTCTTGTTGATGAGTGTCAGAAGAAGCCATCTACAATGAATAACCAAAAAAATACAATGTCAAACAATCATTCGAATTCAAGATTCATGAACAACAACAAAGGAACCAAACTAGGAAATCATAAGATTAAGAACTAAGAAAAGATGCATACCTCCGACTGAATTCTCGATGATGCCGATGATGGAGATGGAAAACAATTGTCGATTCTCTGTAAGGATTCCAGGTTTGTAGTTGCAGTTAACACGATTTGCCCTTTTTGTAGAGTCATTTTCACGATTCTCGAGCTTTAATGGGAAAACAAATCGAAAAGATAGGTTTTGGAATTAGGGATGAATATGAAGAGATGACTCGGGTAAAATGTTGAGAGACACATGCGTACTGCGGATGAACATCCATATTTAATAATTCGTATTGCACCGGATATCCGAAATAAACCGGGTAAGATCCCAAACCGATCCGTTGTGGGAACCGAAATCCACACTGTCGATTTTCCGTCAAATATGGAAACTTAGGGTGAAACCCTAATTTTCCCTAGGTCCTGGATCTCTGCGGAAATCACTAAAACAAACGAATTTAACAGAATATGGATGAACAATGAAGAATAGAGGATAAAGAACTTGTATGAAAGCTTTTATTAAATAAGAAATCGACAACTGTTACAAGAAGAATTGAAGAACTTAGATGTCGAAACGTTATAAGGATCTGGATTGCTAGTCTAAACGCTAAGTCCTAAATTCCTAAGCTAACAGCCGTCTTTTCTAGGTCTGATTTTCGTCCCTCTCTTCTGCCCTACGCCTCTGGTTTATATACTCCTTGCCTTGACGGTTCGATCTTTCCATTTCGCCCGGATTTGAGTATATCGGGAATCTTCCATTTTTCTCGATCCTTCCTTTTCTTCCGCAAAAATCTTCTATTTATTTTCAAACCTGCCTTTTATCTTCAAGCTTGACATTTATTTTCCTTCTGCGAGTCAACCGTCAAAACGTTATCGTATCTTCGGGTTAGATTCCATCAAGATCGCGAGATGGGCTTTTTATAGCTTTTTAGGACCTTCCGGGCCGTTTTGCGATAAATCCGTTTTGCAACTTTGTACGAGATCGTTTCCTGATCCGATGCCATTTTTAGTAAATTCTCCGAGTTAATCGTAAAGTTTAGCTACATTCGTTTTCTTCGGTTAATCGTTGTCGTTTTTACGATTTACTCGACGTTTTTATTAAAAACGCGTTTTTACGATTTTTATGAAAAATCTCGAATAAATCGTATAGTTTAGGCAATGTTCGGTGTTTCTTTTAACCGTTGCCGTTTTATACGATTTCCTCGAGTTCTTTTCGAGAAAACAAAGTTTCACGGTTTTTATCGTAAAACTCGAACGATAGGACAGATCGAGACGAAACGGGAGACATTTCGATCTGTGGTTCGGAACGCGACCGTGTCGAAGGACGTAAGTTTCGAATCGGGAATGCGGGAGATCGAGGTGCGGGATATCCGGGAAGTCTCTAGTTCGCCCAACGGCGAACTAAGCCGGTGGGCGAACTAGTCGGGACGGGACTAGTTCGCCCACCGGCGAACTAGTCGTGATGGGACTAGTTCGCCCACCGGCAAACTTGTCAAGTGTCTCCTAGTTCGCCCATCGGCGAACTAAGCCAGCTTGGCTTAGTTCACCGGTGGGCGAACTAAGCCAGCTTGGCTTAGTTCACCGGTGGGCGAACTAGTCGTGACTAGTTCGCGTTTTACGGTTGTTTCGTTTTTTTTTGGTTTCGTAAAACGATCTTCGAGTTTTATAAAACGATTCTTGAGTTTTATAAAATGATTCTCGAGTTTTATAAAACGATCTTCGAGTTTTATAAAACGATCTTCGAGTTTTATAAAACGATTCTTCGAGTTTTATAAAACGATTCTCGAGTTTTATAAAACGATTCTTCGAGTCTTATAAAACGATTGTCGAGTTTTATAAAACGATCTTCAAGTTTTATAAAACGATTCTTCGAGTTTTATAAAATGATTCTCGAGTTTTATAAAACGATCTTCGAGTTTTATAAAACGATTCTTCGAGTTTTATAATACGATTCTCGAGTTTTATAAAACGATTCTTCGAGTTTTATAAAACGATTCTCGAGTTTTATAAAATGATCTTCGAGTTTTATAAAACGACTCTCGAGTTTTAATAAATGACTTTTGCGGAAAGTAATGATTCCAGAAGTTATCGTAGACGTTTATTTCGAGATTACAGTTTTTGACACAACCAGTTAGCCCCCCAGCCTGCAATTTCTTGAGAAAATTTTGCGGGCGGATAGAGTTAGTTTTAAATCGGAATCTACGGATAAGATTTGTCTCATTACGAGGGGGAGCTCTTTTTTTTCTATAAGTATTGGATCATTACTTCTCATATTTTCCACCTCTCAAGTTTCTCTCCAACTTCTCTCTAGAAATTTTTTAAGATGTCTTCTTCCCAAGGTGATCAACAAAACTGTGAGGTCCCATCCAATGACAACCCTACGGCACATCCGCAGGATGCTCGTATTTCTGAGTTTCTCTTATTTCAAGACGAGATTGACCGTAGCGATGCTGAGGAAGATGCTGTGTCGAGCGACGTACCCTCGGTAGATCCATCCGTCCTTGCGAGAGAGGTCAAGGCTATTTTGGACGAAACGACAGATACGGTAGTGGACTCCTCGACGGGCGCTGCTATTGAACCGTCGGGTGTGCCCGCTGTTTCGCCCCTCCTTGCAGCCGAAAACGTTGCTATTTCTGCTGAGGTCGGAATAGCCATAGCTCCCACCACGGTAGAGTCGGTCGTGTCTCCGACCGTGGGCGAACCGGTTGCGACTCTTACCGCTGTTGAATCAGTTACGACTCCTGCCGCAGTTGAACCGGCTGCAGCTCCTACATGTTTAGCCTTGTAACTCTTTACATAAACCAACTAAACTTTGATGAAATGCATAATGAAGCTGTTGATTTTTAGTGTATATAGTTGATTATGGAGTGGTTTATTTGCTTCTTTTTTTCTGCAAACGCATGGGATGTACAACGTTAGGATGTCTAATTAACACTTTTAACTTCCATTTGACTTCTACAAATCCACAATGTCATCTATGTCCTAGGGACTGACTCAGTTGATGTATCTTAAATATTATGAATATGTGCAGTTATGATCCCTGACTAATTTTGTTTGGAAATGAGGCTTTTTGAGCTGTTGCAGTAAGGCCACCCATGTGTTCATGCATGGTTAGCATAAGAGAGCTCCCTCCAAATCTAAGAGGTTTAATAAGGAAGGGACCAAAGCTCATCAACTGATTTTTTTTTTTAAACTTGTGTGGTTCTTTTCATTTTATTTTTCTTTGTTACACTGTAAGTCTTTCTTTTAATCGAAATATATAAACCAAATCAAAATAAACAAAACAACAAAAAGTATATTTATGGTTTTATTTTTAAAATATAAGAATAATAATTCTGAAAATGTACAGTAAAATTAGATTTTAAAAGAAAAATAATATTATATTTTTGATTTTTTCTGCGTATGGCCTAGGAAAATTTCTAGTCGTTTTTATATACACATAAATAAATATTTTTTTTGTACGCATGGCCTAGAAAAAAATTCTAGTTGTTTTTGTATACACATAAAATACTTTGTTTTCCAAAATATTGGATAAGTTAAAACATCCAACTAAATGCATATGCTAATTTAATACCGTCATATAATTTTTAGTTTTGTTGGTAATATTGTTTTGTTTATTTTTCATTTTTATTTATAATGATTTACTTGTATTTGTCTATTAACATATCAATACATAATTTAAGTTACCATCAATGCTTCTAGTCAGATTAGAATCCGTCCTAGAGTGGGATTGGTTTTGTTGAAGTAAAATGGAGAAAAAGAAAAAAAATGGAAAAGAGCTAGATGAAAATAAAATGATAAACAAAAAAGAAAAAGATAAGAGAAAAACTAAATAAATAAAGTTACTCTACCAGAACTTGGAGTAACAATAAATATGTATTTTTCTCTGTTAAAATAGTAATTAAAGTAAATATAAGAGAACAATATTTCACTTGGTAATATTTTAGTGGACTTTAGAGTAACTCAAAAGTTAGAGTAAATATTTACTCTATATTGACTATATGATCATACCCCTAATGTATATATTGAAAGAGAAGAAAAGGTAAAATTGATAGAAGACGATGCAGTAATAATATGATCATGCGAGAAGGTAAGACATTGTAGGAGAGGAATTCCATACCTCCCCATTAAGCCCATCAAATAACTAGGCCCAACCGATCGTCGTCCATAAGCGGCCCAGAAGCAAAGTCTGCTAGGAAGACGGGCGGTTTAAATGAAGATTAATCCACCGATTATCATAATAAACCGGTCGAACCGGGCAGTGACGGTCGACCGACTTATCCCTGAATAAAAGCCCATCAAGCGGTTTTAGGCCCAAAACCTCCTAAGGCGAACGATCAAGACACAAGGGTCAAGCGAGAGCTATAAAAGGAAGTGGAAGGGCAAAAGGAAAAAGGATCCGAAAACTGAGACAAGAACACTGACGGCGAGATTTAGGATTTTACCGACGATCGAACCTCTTTGTAATTCGGTCGGACTTTCATAAAGCTCCGACCTTTGTTCTTTCCTTGAATCTTTCTGTAATTTTCTCTTATTATCAACGCTGATTAATAAAACGCCTTCGAAGAACCCACAAATCGAGTTTAGTTTTCCAGTCAGTCGACCGTACAAAACTCGGATTCAACATTTGGCCGTTTGATCGGCGGGGCGAAAGTCGCTAGTGACGCCGCTCTGACCGAGGCCTCGCAGGAACCCGCTGGCATTAATTTGGGTCAATCGTGGAAAGGGGCGAAGAAAAGGATGTCAGACGATGGGCTCGCTGGTACGAACAAGAAGAAGCAGAAAGTTGCTGACGATCGTGTAGCCTCGCCTCGAGAGGTCAATGACGCTCACGATTCTTTACCCTGTCGGGCACTCTGGGGTGGAACCACTCCGCCGGTTAAGAGACCTCCCCTCGCTCCTTCTGCAGCCGTAAAGTTCGACTACCGTGGGACACGTCCGCTTGTTAATGACGAAACTGCGTGCGGTGAGCTGGTTCGCCAAGTGCGGGGAGGATCAAGGTTGATGCCTGAAATTCGCGAGTTGGCGTTTCCGGAAAAGTATAATGACTCGGCCCGTGCGGATGCGACGGTAAGTTGTAATTATTGTTGATTCAATCACTCCTCCCCCCCTCTCTTTTATACCATCTTTTAGTGTGGCTAGTTGCGTTTTGACAGGCGTTGGCTCGGAAGAACCTTCTTGTGTTGGAGTATGAGTGCGCCTTGCGCAAAGTAGTCTTGGAACTTGTCAAGGCCGAAGAGGTCATCAAGGCAAAGGATACTGCGCTCGAGGAGATGAGGCATGATATTTCTGCAAAGGCAAATGAAATAGCGCTTGAGCGCAGCCGCCATGCCTGCGAATACAAGGATGCCAAGGAGATGAACGGTCGTCTTGAAGGTGAGCTTGAGACTACTCGGAGGCGGGTCGTCCAGCTGGAAAAAGACTTAGCCGATGCTGCTTTGAAAGCGAAGGAAAACATGGACCGTTCGAAGCAAATTCGGAACCGTGAGGCCATGTCCATTAGAGGTCAATTGATGACGTCGGCGGATCGTCGCTTTGGGAAATTTCGGAAGTACATGGCGGATAGGGATAAGCTTGAGGAAAAGCTTTCCTTCCACAGTCAGGCCATTGGGGCTTTGGAGTCATTCGACCTGCTGGAGGAATGGGGGGCGAAGGACCCTAGGAAATTGAAAGAAATCTTGGTCGCGAATGAGGCACGGCTCAAGGAAGAGGTCAAAGGAGTCGAAGTTGAAGAGATCGCGGAAAGGGATCTCTCCCTCACCCCCTCCTCGCCATGAGCCATTTCGCGATGTAAACCAATTTGGTACGAATTTCGGGTTAGTGGACTCAGCGACCGCGGCATCCCTTCGTTCTCCGGTGGTTAGTTCAGAGGGCGTAATCGATCAGTCGGTCCGCTCTGTCCCACGCGGCAGTATGGTTGCCAAGGAGGGAGTTGCTGGTGAGCACAATGCCGAGGGATCGTCTGCCTCCAAAGGCTGAGCTATGTTCTATTATGTTGTATTTTGTTATCTTTTGATGTTGGTGTTTCGATCACCTTTGTTGTACTCATTGACGCTGGTATTCTTGTTGTTGCCCTTTGTGGCTTTTTGGGATATTTTAGTTGTTTCAAAATATCGTTTCATTTCTATTCCATATCGGTTGGCTCCCACATAGGGATTTCGATCGCCTGGCAACTTTTCGATCAGCCGGCCGTTGGTATGCCATGATGTTCAATCGGCTGGCAACTTTTCAATCAGCCGGCCGTTGGTATGCCATGATGCTCAATCGGCTGGCTACCTGTCAATCGGTCGGCCGTCGGTATGCCATGATGCTCAATCGGCTGGCTACCTGTCAATCGGTCGGCCGTCGGTATGCCATGATGCTCAATCGGCTGGCTAAGCCAATTGCAAAAGAGTGAGGGTGCTAATCGGTCGGCGGGGTACCAACGGGGATCGATGTTGAGGTTGTGATGATCGGCCGGTTGATTGCTCCACTACGAGGGGGAGGATCAATGGCGACCGTCGGTCGGCTAATTGCTCTAACCCGTGGAGGGAAATCAGTGGCGATCATCGGTTGGCCGATTGTTCTATCCCAAGGAGAGAGATCGATGGCTGATCAACGGGGATCGGCCGGCCGATTGCTTCATCCTAAGGAAGGAGATCGTTGGCGATCATTGGTCGGCTGATTGCTCCAACCCACAGAGAGAGAGAGATCAGCGACGATCGATTGGCCGACCGACTGTTCCATCCTATGGAAAGAGATCGACGATGATCGTCGGTCGGCTGATTGCTCCATGATGATCGGTCAACCGATTACACTGGCCCAGAAATTTTTTAGTTTTTGTTTGTATTATAGCTGGACCTCGTGTGAGGTTGCCTACGTACCCAGAGATAGGGATCAAGCCATTCGTAGTTCGGTTTGGCCGACCGATAGATCATTTGCTCTTCCGGAGAAGGAGCGGAATTGATGCTAGTCGATCGGTTGATTTTTTTTTTTTTTTTTTTTTTTGGGCCGATAGATCATTTGCTCTTCCGGAGAAGGAGCGAAATTGATGCTAGTCGATCGGTTGATTGATTTTTTTTTTTTTTTTTTTTTTGGGCCGACCGATAGATCATTTGCTCTTCCGGAGAAGGAGCGAAATTGATGCTAGTCGGTTCCTGCGAGGCCTCGGTCAGAGCGGCGTCACTAGCGACTTTCGCCCCGCCGATCAAACGGCCGTCGGGAATGACTTCCTGTTCGGCATCGAAGTTTGCCTTAGAAGATCGGTCCTTCCTCTTCTTCTTCTTCAATGAACAACCGTCCGACGCTGGATTCAGTGAACCTCCTGCTGGAATGCTATCGGCCGTAACCCCCGCATCCTCGCGATGCGGACTGTAATTTCGGTCTCCCCGCCCTCGCGCAACAGCTGTCGCGTCTGGCTGGTCAACGCCTAACTGAGCACTAAGCATATCACGATAACTCTGATGATTCCTCGCGTTATTCCCCATTGACGAAAGCTTCAACCTTTTCCCTTTGGTACGCTCACAAGGGATATCAGATCGCCAAACAGCTGCCATCACCAAAAAAGAAGAAGGAAAAAGCACGCAAGAACGGGATCAGCCGATCGATCACCAGCAGACAAAGCACATATAAAAAAAAAATATAATAATAATCATAACAGCCTACAAGGATGGTGATAGAAGAGGAGATCGATTGAAAGTTAAGTGCGACTAACCTGCAGCAATCTTTTTCCGCTGACGACGAATCCGGCGACGATCGAACGCGTCCCACACGTTTGTTTGAAGCGCGGCAACCCTGGCGACGTCCTCCTCGAATCTCTCCGGGTACTCTCTTGTGTTCGGATGGGGAACTGCAAAACCAAAAACAATGACAAACATAAACAATCAGTCAAGAGAACATACAGACATCAATCGCTTGGCATCATCAAAAATACCAATACTACGGCTCCACACTACACGGAAGTGGTCGCCCGGCGGCTCCTCAAAGGCATCAACATCAGCTCTAACATAGAAATAAAAACGCTGCCAGTTTTTGGCCCTCGAATGGTGACCGGTCAAAATATGCAACCCAGAACGCATCTGTATAGCGTACACGTGCCCGGGTTGAGGCTGCGCTTGTGTCAACTCCTCAAACACCCGGACAGTCATCAATGCATCAATTTCCACAGCCATCACCATCAAAGCTACAGCAATCCTCGTTACCCCATTTGCTAACTGGGATATCGCCACATCCCGGCGGAAACAGTAAGCGGTGATAAGGCGGGGAATTGGAAACCATAGTCTAGAATCCCCTTCGAAGAACGACTCATAAACGCAATGAAAGCCCAAAGGAGGTGACCAAGGCCTCTGATCGGGTCGCGGAACCATAAACGTCACACCAAACGCTCGACATCTCCTTAACAACCCAACGACCCCTTCATGATTCGACAAGGTTGGCTCAACACTTCCTAAGTCTTGCTCATCGACGAGAGACGGTCGAGAGTATCTCGAGGGAAGATCGGGTAACTGCTCTATGTTACCGTCGCGATGGCAACGGAAAGGCGTCAATCGCCGGGGCGGTTCTTCAGGATCAGACAAACGACCCCCTTCAACCCTATCGAGCAACTCCTCCGCCAGAGCTTCACCAGTCGAGTCCCTAGGACCGATCTCCCTTGCGTCGAATGATACGCGCTGAGCGTTAGCGACCTCCCCAGCCATCCTGAGATCAACGTCGGCCGTCGCAATCAGAGTACTGCGATGTTCCGTTGTCGCTGCCGGTAATAACCTAGAACAAGGCTGCTGATCATCCGATGAGATCGAACCAAACACAGTACCCTTCCCCTTTTCAGATCTGGAAAATCGCTCGGGATTAGACATCACAAAGCCGGTTAATAAACCCTTGTTACCTTCGCAGTCAATTAAACCCACCGATCGGAGAAGGAGACTAGCGGCGGCGGCCGGACAATCTCCACGCGCCCCGACGGCGGAACAAACCCGAATCGAAGGAGAGGGCGAGCCGGCCGGGTGATTGTCGACCGATTGACGAAGAAAGAAGCTGGCGGCGGCGACCGGTCAACCGCCAAGCATCCCGACGGTGGAGCAAGCCCAAATCGGAGGAGCGGGTGAGCTAGCCGGGTGATTGTCGGCCGATTAGCGAAGACACCGACGGCAGTAGTCAAACCCCGGCGGTAATTGCAAAGAAAACGGCGCACGGCCAAATCGGAGGAGGAGAGGAGCGACCGTCGGCGGTAAAGAAAATGGGAGGGGAAGAAAATGAAAGAGAAAGAAGAAAGGAGAAACAAGAAAGAGAAAGTACCTTGTTGTGTGGTGGGGAGAGAAGAATAAAAGGAGTGGAGGAGAAAGACACTCCTATTTATAGAAAAAAAGGGAAATCGCGGGATTCAAGAATATATGCCATTATTAGGCCTACTAGGCCCGTTAAACAATCCATAAGCGAAGGATCGCAAGATTTCCGAAATAAAAAAAAACGACGACTCGAAGCGGCACGACGCTCGACGGACCCACGACGAACGGATACGACAGTTATTATCCGAGCCAACCCTTACAGTCCCACTGTGAAGAAATCGCCTTCCCCACCAGCGGGCTGGGGGGGGGCTTACTGTAGGAGAGGAATTCCATACCTCCCCATTAGGCCCATCAAATAACTAGGCCCAACCGATCGTCGTCCATAAGCGGCCCAGAAGCAAAGTCTGCTAGGAAGACGGGCGGTTTAAATGAAGATTAATCCACCGATTATCATAATAAACCGGTCGAACCGGGCAGCGACGGTCGACTGACTTATCCCTGAATAAAAGCCCATCAAGCGGTTTTAGGCCCAAAACCTCCTAGGGCGAACGAGCAAGACACAAGGGTCAAGCGAGAGCTATAAAAGGAAGTGGAAGGGCAAAAGGAAAAAGGATCCGAAAACTGAGACAAGAACACTGACGGCGAGATTTAGGATTTTACCGACGATCGAACCTCTTTGTAATTCGGTCGGACTTTCATAAAGCTCCGACCTTTGTTCTTTCCTTGAATCTTTCTGTAATCTTCTCTTATTATCAACACTGATTAATAAAACGCCTTCGAAGAACCCACAAATCGAGTTTAGTTTTCCAGTCAGTCGACCGTACAAAACTCGGATTCAACAGACATGGATTTGGTGGTTTTGACAGAGTGAGAATTGTAGATGCAGTTCTTCTTTTATTTAGCTATTTTTTCTATATATCACAATGTGTTTCATCCATTTTTATTTGTTTGATTTGTATAGCTTAGAACAGCTTCGCAGTTGATTTCAATAACTATTTCAATCCTCTATAAATCTCAAGACTGAACCTTAGATATCGGTTGGTTCCTTGTCTTGTTACTCCTACGTAGTCTATATCATGTTTTGAAGCATATCTAAAGAATTCCTTGTCCTGTTACTCCCTACATAGTCAACATGTTTTGAAGCATATCTAAAGAGTTTTACATAGTTACACTTGTCTCTTGTTAGAAATTAATTATAGTAATTTAATCGTTTTTATCACCGATTAGCATGATATTCATTTTCTACGTATTGGTTTTTATTTCTTTTTCTCAATAATAAAACCAGAAAAAAACATTACCATTACATGCCCAAGTTTCATATCCAACTGTCATCTTAAGGACACCATAGGTATGTGACCCCAGTCTTTTTAAGCCACTAAGCACTGGGAAGGAAGGATGATTGTTATATATTCGTAACCAAAATCTCTATATAACACCACCGTATTTGACCACGTATAATTTGACTGCTCGATTCAGACTTCCATACCCATACTGAAAGCTTCTACGTACTGAAG